ATGCTCCACCTGTGTGGGTGGGGGGTGTGGCCACTCAGCAGCTGAGTGGGGCAGCATATGGAGTTTCTAATTGGGTAGAACAGCACAGCTGGAGGACTCCAGTCCAGGACCTGGCCTCTGGTAATCAGTCCCACAATCCTCAGCCCTCCTCTGCACATCCACCGGGCTGCATGCAAGCCACTGATAGGCGGGCAGGTGGGGTTCAGTCTCAACACTGTAACCAACAAGAAACTTGTCCACTTAGAGGTTTTCAGCTGGAGCATGACTCAATGTAGACTAATGTCACACAGCGTGCAATAAGACCTCATTCATGAATTTAAGGCAAAATATCAAAATTAAAAGAGCTCAGAATTCTGAACGGCTCCTGTTTCAGCAATGCTTGCATGCGTGCAGTACTTTACTGCTGTGAATGGTCAAGGCAGAGACCGTTTTATTGCTTTATATAATATGATGTGATAAGGTCTTTTATTTTATGAGCTGTGTAAAAAAGTAATGAGAAAAGTAGCCAGTAACTTCAAATTAAAACATATTGTGTAATATATAATAAATCCATCCATCCATCCACTTTTCTCCTGTTTATCTGAATTATGGGCTCAGTCTTTACTATGGACTTTTCCAGGAGGACAACAACGTGATGCAATCTTTCCATTGTGCCCAGAGTGTGCCCTAGATTTTTTAAATTTTCTTTTTACCTTTTTCTTTTTTTTAATGTATGTGTGTATTATATGGACACATAAATCTAAAATAAGTATGTGTCCTTTCTTCTCATGATATAGCCATGTTTAATCCAAAAATGAGGGCTCAATTTTTTTAAACTCCCTGCATACCAGAGTGCTTAATGTTAACTGTTTTCTCCCCTGCCGATGTCAGTATCAAGTCATGGAGTGATTGCTCCACAACAAAGAAATAAAAATCACAAATTCTTCTTTGTTTTGTTTTTGTTTTCATTTATTTATTTATTTTCCAATATGCTGAGATTGCAAACTGGGTTCTGCTTGTCAGGTTTTACAAATGTTTCCCAGAAAATGATGGCAATCACCTCACACTGTTTCCACGTCCATTAAATGCTTAATATGATCGAAAGCTTAAATTCCTAACCAAAGCCTTTTTCAATAAATATTGTTTTTATTCTGGATATGTGAAGCACAATGTTCATAGAAACTCCTGGAAACAGACCAGCATTACTATTGTAGTAACAGAAAATGAGCAGACAGACAAACAAACATAAAGCCTGTTGTATTTGTAAACAATGCATTTACATAGTAATAATAATAACAATCATAATAAAAAAAAAATTTTTTTTGGTTTTCTTTGTTTGCAAGTTGCAAGCATTCATGCTCAGTCTATTGGTAAAACATCCACTGCATTCTACTGCGCACAATATCTGGTCACAATTACAAAAGTATTAATTATTTTGCTCATATTTATGCTTGGGCATTAAAATCACTACTGTTCAGAAAGAGTTAGGGCTTCATTAGGAATGTAAAACAGTTAAAACTGACTTACTTTAACTTATTTACTTAAAATTCAGTTTTTGTTCTCATTATATTTCGTGACTGATTCTGTAGGTTGTGCAGCTTGGTCTATTTAAATGTAGGGGAAAAGAGTAAAAAGGACAGTATATTCTTGAGGCTTTACAAAAGAGCAAAATAGATTTGGGAGGATGCTATCATCAACACTAAAAGGATAAATGTGCCAACAACAGGTTTATGGTGTGAATTATTATCAACAACAACTGAAGTGTTCATCTGGGTATCAACAAGTACTCAAAATAAATGGCTCGCACTCGTATGTGGCACTTTGTAAGCACTTCCTCATTTAGCTTTTGTGTTTTGAGTTGGGGTAATTGTACATGCAGCTCAGTTTAAGGCAATGCAATAAAAATACCACTGAGACACTGAAAATTGGCATTAAAGGCTTCATTACATCGTCAGTGTGAGATCAGAGTCAGACGCAGAGATTTTTTTCTAAAGAAACTCCACGTTACATTTCGGACAGGATCACGTTTTACTACCACACCGTTGCCATCTTTTTCAACCACTTCACCTGACACTCATCATCCAGACACAATTTCCCCTTAACTGCTGACATCAATTGAGAAATGCTTGCAACTCAGCGTGCGATCCATGGCGCCTTCATTTGCAGCTCTGCACCACGCACCGTGCCTATAAAAGCTGATAATGTGATAATTAAAAGAGCTGACAGCAAGAACTGTCAGCGAGACACTCTGATTTACCAACCTCTGCTATTTATTAAACCTCTCAAATTACAATGCTTCCACCCTTGAAGTGTACACGTATTATATCAAATGCAATAATGACTGAATTTAGAGCTGCTGTGAATGAAGAAGAAGTTAAGGAGTCTGGGTGGATGACAGCTTGATAAAATCTGCCCAGTAAACATCTGAAACAAGGGTTTCTAACACACAAAAGATCACTGCCATGTCTTTCTCTCTCTCTCTCTCAACCACACCATGATTTATTACCTGAAAAGACAAGAGAACTAATTAGTGAGTAATTAATTAATATAAATTTGCATATTTGCATTTGCAATTAGTGCAGTCAACTGATTAGTCTGAGATGGGGAGTTTGACTCTTCAGTATGTATGTGTGTGTGTGTGTGTGTGTGTGTGTGCTGGACCAGAACGCTGAGCAGACCAGCTGAGGCATTTTTGGGGGAAGGCAGTGATGCTTTTTTTTCTTTCATAGATCTATACATGTACTTTGGATGTGTTCTTGTAAAGTATATGTGCTGGCCCACATGCACACTAGCCTGTCTCACACACATTAGGCTAAGTGTTTGCACATTCGGTGCTGTGTGTACATGCTGTCATTGTCACCGTAGAAACTGCGACTTACTTGGGCCTCAGTGCTCGGAAGTCAAACCAAGATGTAATCAGCTCTCCGTGGCTCATTCTGCTGATCGATGTCTTGTAATGTCCAATACAGAGAGATTGATAAGTTGTTTTAATTGATTATCCTTTCAACAAGGTCATTCACACACATACATTTGCATGTGTGTGTGAATCAGTGTGCTTGTGTATGTGTGTTCCACATAACTGAGGTGTGCATATACCCATATCGAGTGCCAGCTGTGCCCCAGTGTGGAATTGGCAGCGTGCCACTGGGCCTTTTCCACTGGGTGTGCTTAATGTCTATGGTACTGAGGTACCAACACTGCGCAAGCCACCTCTTTACCATCCTTTGCATTTAAGGTTTCTGTAGGAATTTCTTAAACCATTTTGAACCTACCTGTTTTTTACTATCTTTGCTATCACAGTAAGCTGAATATCGTGGAGATTTGGACTTGTACTTGGATAAGGAAAGGCATCTCTGGAAAATGTGAAAACTATTTTATTTCACAGACCCAACAATCAAATATTGTTCACCAGATAAATAGATGACCTCTTTTGGATTGGGCTAACTATAGAAATCTTAGTGTTGGTTGTCTCAAAGACATTAAAATAAGTAAACAATAATAAAATACGGGAAAGCCTAACTGCATTGCTGGATACCACTCGAGTTAATATGTTACCTTTCTAATATATAAACATAAAATGAGAAAACTTAACTTAAAATAAAAGATTTCGAAAGTTAAGAATTAAAATGGCTTTTCAAACAGGTTCTAAAAGTGTCTAATGATGGAGAGGTCCCGATGCAAAGGGGCAGTTTGTTCCACAGTTTCTGAGCTGCAAAGGCTCGATCTCCTCTGTGCTTTAATCTGGAGCTCGGGACAGCTAGGAACATTTGCTCAGCTTCAGACTTCAGTAATCTGGAGGGAGCATACCAACTTCAAAGGTTAGAGAGGTAAAAAGTTGCCAACCCAAGCAATGCCTAAAAAACAATTATGAAATCAGTTCAAAATCTGACTGGCAGCCAGAATAGTGATGGTAATATGGGAGATATGACCTTAGACCCAAACACTCCATCTATGTAGGTAACAATCATTATGTATACTTTCTATGCACTCCAGCTTAAGTACATTGTTTGCTAACTGCATTAACAGCTTCTCCTTTGTTTCTTGAGAGGAGAATTTAAAAAATTATTCATTAACTAACTAAGCGTTTTAGAAGTAACCCTTCCCTTTGCCACCAAGAGGGCGGTGCATTCAGTGAGGGTAATTAAATAGTAAATTGTCCATATAAGCATTGCATTAACAAAAACATTGCTTTTGCTTCCAAAAGCACAAAGAACCAGACACAGAAATGAACACTGTTACCACTGTTACTGATATAATCTGGGGTTTTGTAGATGCCAGAGAGGTCAAAGATTATTTTTTTGTAATGTTTTGGAAATATTTGACAGAAGTCATGATGCAAAGAGTGCATCACTCACAGATTCACTCACTCACATGTGTAGAACATCTCTTGTTTTTCACCTGTTTTACAGCTGCTGCTCCTGAGACACCGCAATGAGTCATTTCCAAAAGTCAAGTAAAAATGATGCTTACGAGGAATTCTCACAAAACCTGTGACGCTCATGCTGTTAAAGAGGATCCTGAACCCTTAACAAAAAATTAGACTAAACGCTGTTATTGAATCCTTTTGACCCAAATATGAGAGCTCCCCCCCCCCCTCATTTACTTTTGCACCCAAATACATTTCCAATTGTTTTAATTAATATATTAGTGTGATTTAATTTTGGCACAGCTTTTATTTGCGCATACTTAGCTCTGCATGGATCACATAGTGCGGAAATTCATAATCTGTCTACCTGTTGAGAATCTCTGCAAACTCCCTCCAATTTTCCAGACAAAAAGACATTAATTCATCTTTCTTACGGGGAGATGCAGATATTAGTTGTTATCCCTCTCCGGTCTCTGTTTCTGACGGTAAACGCGGGCCTCCCGGTGCCCATTACCGGAGCTGCCAGATGATCGGTACGGAGCGGAGGTCCCGTGGGACAATGAACACGTGGTCTCGGCTGCCACAAGACGTCAGCGGCAGATGGCATGGGTACCCGCTGTTGGCATGAGTGTCATTCCTCAAAGAGAGAGGGAAAGGGAAGAGAGGGAGGGAGAGTGAGAGAGGGGAAGGGAAGAGCAGATCACAGCAAGGCAGAGAAAAGAGAGTGCGCAGAATTAAGCTCTTTCTTCCAATTTGGTAGCTTGCGAGTGAAGAAGCTGAGGCGCAGATTCAGAGGAGATATTCGGGAACATGCAAGGTACATGCTGATCAGAGGTTAGTAATATTTTTGTTCGCAATTTGTTGACTGATAATGCGCTTTTATTCTGGGTTAAAACGTGGTTAAATACGTGGCGTAGAATTGGCTAGTTTTGGACTCTGATTTGGAGCAAACATAAACTTTAATGTGATGTAATATAAGGTTTAAAACATGGCTATTTTTCCACAAATCTAAAGGCAATTAAGTGTAATGCCTTTGAAAAAGTAGCAAGCTGTGACACTGGCCTTGCTTGCCAATTTGTTACTCTTCCTCTTGGGAGGGCTCATTCACGAGGTAATTAACTGACAACCTTCAAAAGACGTCGGGGTTCTACCTTGTCCTTATAGTTTATGTTTCCGCTTTGATTTTACAGGAAATATGTTGACACTGCCATTCGAGGAACCTCATTTAATGTGTGAGCCGCGGTTTGGTGCCAATTATCCCCGTGAAAGCTTACCTGAGAGCCTGGAGCAGGAGCGACAACATAACCCTGACAGATCCAACTCAGACATGAGGGAGGTCGAGGACGACATCTCCGACAGAGATGAGGACGAGAGAGAGGACGATCAGGATGAAAACGGGCTTCCTAAAAAGCGAGGCCCCCGAAAAAAGAAACCGGGCAAAGAGCAGGTTGACAGGTCCAAACTCAGGCGCCAGGAAGCCAACGCCCGAGAGCGCAGCCGGATGCACGGCTTGAACGCTGCGCTAGAGAGCCTGCGCAAAGTTGTGCCGTGCTACTCCAAAACTCAGAAACTGTCCAAGATTGAGACCCTCAGACTGGCTAAAAACTACATCTGGGCCCTGTCAGAGACTCTGAGCGCAGGGAAGAGACCGGACCTCCTCGCCTTCGTACAGACTTTGTGTAAAGGATTATCTCAACCAACGACCAATTTGGTGGCGGGTTGTTTACAGCTGAACGCGAGAAACTTCCTCACAGACCACAACGGAGAGGTGATGTTCTCTGGGAGGGCGCCCTACGATGCCATGTACTCGTATCCTGGGTCAGACATGAACACCCCCCCCGGCCACAGCGGGAGCAGCTTGGATAGTAGCGCCAAGCCGTTCCGTCACTACAGCTACAGCAGCGCCTACGAACCCTACTACGAGAACCAGTCCCCGGAGAGCGGGAGTCCGCATTTCGACGGCCAGCTGAGCCCACCAATGAACTTTAACGGGATTTTCTCCCTAAAACACGACGACCCGCCAGAGTACGGCAAAAATAGCCACTATGGCATGCGCTACTGCAGTGCGCCAGGGCGCACGGCTCTTGCGCACAACTCCATGTACCGAGTCTCCCCAGAGGCCCGTTTCCCTTACGATCTGCACGTCCGCAGCCAGTCCTTCCAAGCACAAGGAGAAGTTAATGGCTCTTTCCACAATTAATCAATCAGCTGGACAAAGTTCAAGCTTGAGAAGCGATGCAATTTCCCCCCACAGATGTCGTGAGTGGAATGAAATTGACTCAGACAGGCTGATGCACTGCAAAAATGCCAACTGAAACAAGTCATTTTTTGTGTGTTTTGAAAGATGATACGAAGCCAGAATTTCAGATGAAAGGGATTCACAAGTTTCTTGTTGTTGTTCAGTTTCATTCGTCTCAATATAGACTTTAAACACACACACACACGCACACCACCACCACCTGAAGGTTTTGTTTCGTAAAAAAAAAAAAAAGGGGGGGGAGATCTGTCTGAAGGCCCAAATTCATGATTTACTGGTACAGTGTAGAGCATTTGTTTTCAAACAGATGTGGTCTAAAATAATTAATTGAAGGTGCAGATTTGGAGTAAATCGTTTGCAGTTACAGTGCACTATTTGTACGTGTTCGTTAATGGCCATAGTGCAGATGTCGCTAATTGAGTTTACATAAAGCCGATATGATTAATTAAAATTTCTTCTTATTTGAAAACATTACTGCAGTCAGTTAAAACGCTTTTTGAGACAAAACAAAAGAAACAAAAGTAAAACAAATAAAAGTTTATCGGGGACGTTTACTGAGACATGATTGGAGTTCAGAGATTCAGTCTCCTAGCAATAAAGGTCAATTTAGCTATGCAAGGCAGCCAAATGCAATCTTTGCTTATTAAAAATAATATATGTCTACTTCTCCTCACAAGGCGTCCCGCTCAATCTAAGATTAATTGAAAAGACGGCAATTACAGCCACATAGATATTTTATAGAAAGCCAGTGAATTCAGGAGATATGTCATCCAATGATGTCATCCGGATTGCTCCTATAAATACAGGAAGTTGCGGGGGGAAAACACGTCACAGCTGAACGCTTTCGTATTTGGAGAGGTGAGTGTGTTATCGCGGTGAATGTAAATTTTTATTGTATTTATTTATTTGAGCTTATTTAATGAAGTCCGTCAAATTGAATGTGAATAATATATTATAAAAATATTGTAAAAAAAAATCAATAGTGTTGACTCTTATGTGCATTTCCACGCATTTAAAGTTTGTTTACGTTGCATTGCATTGTGATAAATTTCACCACAAGCTGAAAGTCCAGCAATGGCAGCAGAAATGCATTTTTTGTCAGGTGAACAAAATGCATCAAAAACTATATGAATCCTAACAACATGCCTTAAAAAGAGACGATGACCATCAATATGCAACGAAATGAAAGTTTTGGATAGTTTGATGTGAACTTTTTACTCTTCCTTGTTCCTCCCGAGGAGCAGCTGTGATGCACTTCATGTACTTCTGCACAATGTTGGTAACTGCTCATAAATTCTGTTGATTTTGTAACTTTAACCGAATGCTGAATGATTTTTGGATGTTTCTCCTTTATTTCTGCATTTACTGATAACCTTTCCCTTCAACCCAACCACACACGCGCGCGCGCACTCCTGAAAACTCGTTATGGATCGAAATATTCGTGAAGTAATGTGTTAATGTTTTGTGATGTGTTTGTCGCAATAAAATGTAGAGGCTGTGAGAGGCTTCATGTGGTAGCCCAGCTTCTCAGCTTTCTGTGAAAGTGATCGACGGCAGACGGCAATTAAGAAAAAATAATAATGGTTAGAAAAAAAAATTAATATAAGAATGCCCCGAGCGTTTTTATATATTTATTTTTAGGAAAATGAATCGTGAAATAACCTCGAAGGTGACACAGGGCTATCGTAGCGACCACAGACTCAAGTTTCCAGCAAGCCATGTTAAAATTGCACACGCCTACATTGAAAAGAATTATAATAATAATATTGAAGAATTCTAAAACTTGATTTTGAAGTTCTGCGTCTAAAAAGGTTTTTCCGATAAAATTTAATTTAATTTCAGCTGATCAGATGGTTGATTTGTGTCAAATGCCCACAAGCTGTTGGTTATCATCCAAATCCCACAGCTCCCGGTGTGGAAAAAAGTGAGTCCGACAGTCCAATTCACAGAGAAGCAAAAAAGAAAAACAATAAATAATAACAACAACAACAATAACTTCAGATACATTTCCAGTGTTTTAAAATTATTCCGTACATGCCTTTCTTTCTCTTCCGATGATGTGATTTAATTTAACGGAGGGTACACTTGCTGATACCGTCTTAGTCGGGAAATTTTTACAGTTACTTTTTTCAAAGTGATTTAAAATTTCATGTGAAGTTATTCTGTTTATTTAACTGAAAAAAGTGGGAAAGGGAAGGTTCCTCTTTTTTATGTCATCGCGATAATGAACAGTCCGCCCTCCATAGCGCATTATTGTTATTAATAGTATTATTTGTGCGGTTTAGATGTATAACGAATCCGGGGGTTTATTCTCATTATTCGTTTTTTTCTTTACTGTCTCACTATCAACGATGAAACAATAATTATTACAATTCCCTGATTTAGTTAAACTCTCAGCAGTCTCACCTTATTGGCGCTGCAGGATTTAAGTTTTGAAGAAAGATTGAATTAGCAGAAAACAACTTAGGCTAACTGTACAGGTTTTTACATAAACGACGTGAGAACCTGAAGAACTCTTTGTTCAACTCGTCGGAAGTTAGAGGACCGAAAGTGAAAAGTTTAGCTATAAATCATCACCTAACTGTAGCACACACACACACACATACACGTGTGTGTTACAAATAAAGTAAGACCTAAAGTAACTGCGCAAATTTTGTCGGTGCATTTGATAAATGTCCAATTCCGTCATGGAAAGTTAAGTCGGTGGAAATAAATCGCAGATTGGGAGTGACAGATAGATCTCAAACTGGTTTCACAAACCAGACAAAACCAAACTCATTTTATTTTTGTTATTTACGTATAACTCTAACTGTATTTACAGAACTTTATTTCCAAAAATCAAGAAACATCCTCTCAAAAAACAAACAAACAATCAAACAAAAAACCCACAAAAAACAGTGAAGAAAAACTCTATTTAAAATTTATTTTAACTTAAAAAAAAGTCTCTCACATATCCAGTTAGAGTTGCTAGAGCTCCCCTCTAACCCACACCCGTTTTAAAAAATAAAAACAAAAATAAAATCAACTAACACGAGTGTAAGTGTGTATGTGTGTGTGTCTGTGAGCGTGCTTTTTTGAGGAGAAGCAGGTTCAAATCCCTCGTGGAGCTCCCTACAGAAGCTGACGAGGGTGAGTGGGAGTGTAGGGAGGAGGGTGCCACACGCCCACAGGGTTCAAAGGGCGGCGTGCTGCAGTTTAGCACGGGGTCAAACGTGTACAGGCACATTCAATTCATGCAGCTCATTAAGCCCGGTGGTGAGAGCGAGAGAGACAGTTGGAGAAAGAAGTAAAGCAGAGATGGAGAGGGGAAGAGAGAAAGAGGGGGAGAGGGTGCGAGCGAGCATATGGCCCGGCTCTGTGTGGGAGGTGAAGGACAGTAATGTGGGGTATATACTGTACGGAGGTACATTTGTAATCGGAGACGTGGTGTCATAATTAGTGCAAAAACAATCATCGCGTTTCTATAGCGATGAGTTGCAAAACGACAATGATCATCAGAGAAGTTGTGAAGAGTTTAGTGCAATCTCCACGCGCAGAAAAACGCGTGCGCAAAAAATTGCATCTTTATATATAAAAATATACTGCTTTGTGATATATTATGGTAATTTATTGTAATCAGGAACATTTTCCTGCGATGTCTGAAAATCTGAGCACCAGTCAAGAAAAATGAAAATAATGTTCCCCGCCACGTCGGCAAGCATCCTCAAATTTTGTGCCATTCCCAAGCCCCAGATGGTGTGGGATGGGAAACGTTCCCCCATTAAATTCCTAATAATCATTTCTCCTGCGGAATCGGGGGTGGTGGCAGTGGGGATGGAGGAGGGCTGGGTGCGTGTGTGTGCAGAAGAAGGGTGTGGGGTGTGTGGGGTGTGTGGGGTGGGGATGAGAAGTGGGGATTGGGACGGTGGGTGATTGGAGTAGAGGGATTTGGTGTTTTAATTAGACAGATTTAAGGAGCTGGAGCCCCCCTTTCTCCTTTAAAGTGTGTGTGTGTAGAAACACTCTGATTCATTTATGCTTATATTCCTGTGAGCGTGTGAGAAAAATTATACGTATGAGCAGAGGCGTCGGTGTGCGTGGATGTGTGTGTGGCACAGGTCATGCCAGGGCTGATGCTGCAGCAGAGGAGGCCTGACACTCCAGTACTACGGGCCAGGATCTCATTAACGTGTCAGATTGGTGGATCAGTCTCTCTGGCAGCCAGCCCGGCCTCTCACAGGAAGTACTTTCTCTCTATCTGTGAACTTGGCACTGAAAGGTTAGACAGGGAGGGAGATGTGGGGGATATATTGGCCTCGGGGAGAGAGGAGAGGAGAGACAGAGGCATTAATTATAGTATTTGGTCAGATTGGATAAATATTGGGTAAAGGATTGCAGTTTAAGAGCCGCTTTTATCCGTTGGGGAGTAGAAATGCATGAAAATAGTAGTGCTGATGATTTCCACGGAGTGAAATCAGACAGAGAGAGAGAGACAGACTGACTTCTGCACTTGTGCTGTTTTGGAGGTGGAGATATGCTAAGCATGTGACAGGAGCATCTGTCACTACATCACCTTTGTGCTTTGTGCTCTTTGTCTAGGGGTACTGTAGTTGAGTGTGTGTGAGTGAGCGTGTATGGGTTGTGTGTCTGTGGCTACAATACCAGAGAGTATAGGGTGGGTTTTGGAGCAGGTGGGAAACACATAGGGGTGTGATCCTCTGACACCCCAGCAACACCCTATTTCAGGGCAGAAAGAGACGGGTGCTACTGGGTGATGTGGTTTCATTCCCTCGACTGTGAATGCGAGCATCTGCTGGATAGATAGATAGATAGATAGATAGATAGATAGATAGATAGATAGATAGATAGATAGATAGATAGATAGATAGATAGATAGATAGATAGATAGAT